GAAGCCATGGGGGCAGACACGGGGGAGAGTTTTGGTCTCCCTTTGCAGCAGGAAGAGTATCCCTGTGCCACCGAGCTTTGGGCTCCTCCATCCCGGGATAGGGGACTGGCTCAGGGACTGATCCCCTGAGCATTTCAGGGGATGCTTGAAAGCCACCCCTCCACGTGGCTGTCCCCACCAGCACTGGGCACCAGCGTGTCACTGCTGTCACTTCCTCCCAGGCTATCCCCAGCACACGTGCTCACAGTGTGGTGTGGCAGGGACCCTCCTCCCTGCTCCCCAGTGCGAGGCAGAGGGTGAGCAGATGCCCTGGCTGGTGCAGCAGGTTTGGAGCCATCCTGGCCGAGGGTCTGGCAGAGCCCTGGGCACTAGGCAGCCCTTCACCAAGCAGTGGGAAGGGTGTTGGGGCTGTGCATCACCATATGACAGCACGTGGGTGCCCTGCACACTGCTGTGCCCACCGTGTGTGGGTCCGGACATCCCTGGGGCATCACGTCCTCATTTCAGGGGCTGAGCAAAGGGCAGCTGTGGGAGTGACCATCAGGTTCAGGTCCAAAATTACACTGGACCATGGAAACCCACAGACAGGGCTGGGAAGGGCTCCCAAGATCCAGGCCTCCATCCCGAGGGGTGATGGCAGCCAGCACAGCCATGTGGTCTCACTGATGCCCCCTTGCCCTGCAGCTCTTGGGGACAGCTGCACGTCCCCAGTCCTCGGGGCTCAGCCTGGCCTGGACATCCTTAATTGCCCAAAGGTTGCTGTCCCCAGGCCTGGGGCCACGTGTCGGAGTGACCCCGGGCAGGAACCTGACACGGACACGAGTCATTCGGGATCAACGCTGGGGGCCAGGAAATTGCAACGGACACGAACCTAAATACACTGCAATACACTGCACCTCCCCCCAGGTAATCAGGGGCCGGGCCAGATTCCAGCTGACAGCTTAAATGCCTTAATTCCTTGGCCGCCGTGGTTCGAGGGGGTCCCGTGTGCCGTGGGCTTCTCCCAAACGGCCTCTGAGCTGGAGATTTGTCTGTAATTGGAGGCGTGTTGCATTCCCCTGAAAGTAGCCAGGTCCCGCTGGAGGGGGGCTGCGGGAAGGCAGCAATTTCCCTTATGGAATTATTTACCTGATTAGAGAGTTTATTTTATCAAAATTGCTTCAGAATGGGGCTGCTCAGTGTGTCCAGCGTGGGGAGCTCCCCGATGGGGCTGGCGACCTGGAGACAGGTAATTTGTGTGGTTAATGGGACTAATCCACCAAGCAATTACACCAATAGATTTCACGGCTGCAAAGTGCTCTGTTCCCATTAATTAAAAATCTGTTAAGAAGATTAGCACGTAAAGGCATCAAAAGAAACCCACGAGTTTCTTTCCCCACCAGCCCTCAAAGGCGAGTGTGGGAGTGCTGGATTGCTCACATTAGCACAAAAATTATTCTTTTAAAGGTAAGGGCTTCGAATCCAAAGTAACCGCTGACAGTTTCCCCTGACTTCCCTACCAAGAGGTCCTTTATCTTTAATTATAGTTTGTTTAAATTGGGCCTGATTGTTCATGTGGAGTGTTAGCTTAAATATATTTGGAACGCGTGGTTCCCCTGTGTGTGGCAGTGCAGTGAGAGGAGGGCAGCCCCCGGCTCAGCCCTGTGCCCTGGCAGATGCCCCCACTCTGGGCTGGTGCTCAGGACTGCTCAGGAGCAGATGGGGGTCCAGGGGAGTCCAAATTCAGCATCCCACCATTGAGATGGTCACAGCAGAGCAGGAGCAGGGATGGCAGTGCCAACATTGGTATCACCATTGGCCGGGGCTCACCCACCAAACCAGGCTCTGCAGCGGGTGCTGGGCTGGGTGGGCACCTCCCTGGTGTGGTGGGGAGCCAAGGCCTCTCCAGCAGCTTCCCTGTGGCATAAGTCCCATGCCAGCACCACTTGCACCCCGCGGACACCCTGCTCCCATCCCCACGATGCTGCTGCCGGCCAGCCCGGCTCTGCTCAGCTCAGCGGCCGGGGCCGCCCCTGGGCTTTGTCCACAGCCAGACTCACGGCAAAACAAAAGCAAATTCCCCGGCAGCTGAAGGTGCCATTTTTACGGCTGGGCTGAACGAGGAAGTATTTTTTGATCTCTTAAAAATCCTGAATATTATCTGACAGTTTATCTTGTTTCTCGCATCCGTGTCTTTGCAGCAACGCCAGCTCATTTACATGTGTATTGCGCCTGCCTCCACGGGTGCTGAGGTCAATTGAAACTCAAGAAAAGAGGAGAAATTTATGCAAAACTGTTGATTGCATTTGTATGTAATGAAATCATCCAATATTCATCTGACTATAGACTCTAATCTGAAAGGAGAAGTGAAGGACATAAGAGTCACTGGAAAGCAATAATGAGCTTCTGTAGTGATTAAAAAAGCACTTGAGCTTTCTGAAAATCCAGCCAGAAATCGTGTCTAATCAACACGGAATATAGGAGGCAGAGATTACATTGATACATTTTGCAAAGCTCACTGTTGAAAATGTATGCGAGCTGTAAACTCTGACATGCCATCCAGGGTCTGTTGGATACAAATCCGGGCGGCACAATCAGCGCCCGGCTCGTCCCTGGCACAAAGCAATCTTGGTGTCTCTGCTCGATGACTCACAAGGAGCGCAATCACATCTATTTTGAAGAGCAATGTTGTTTTTTAACTATGTCGAGAGCTTCCAGCTTCCTTGGAGTTTTTCCTTCCCTTTGCCTGTGTTTTGAGTGTCCCCACGGCCGCCCAGTCCAGGAGCTGGCGGGAGGCTGGTGCCTGCCCTGGTCCCTGTCCAGCAGCTCGGAGCAGACTGGAACATCCTGGTGGTGCCGAGTGTGGCTGTGGCAGCCTGGGGAGGCTGCAGTCTCTCCTGAGCAGGGGTGTGCACAGGAATGTACCCCTTGTGCTGGGAGTGTGACCCCCCAGGGACCCCCACCCTTCCAGGCCATGGCAGCACCCGCCAGGTGGGAACACAACAGTGCCTCATGTCAACAGATGCTGTTGGGAGAGGGGTCCTAGTGAGGACAGAGAGGTGTGGACAGCCCAGGGCAGAGAGTGAGGGGCCTGGCCATGGCCTTCCCTCACCCCCTGTCCTGCACCACCCACAGCATTTGTGGCCGAGGCCAAACCACGTGGTGGCCGGTGTGGCATCACTGACACAGACCCACATTACACCAGCCCAGCTGCTTTCTGGCCCATGTCCCTACCCCTCCTGGGTTATTTGGCACAGCTGGAGCTCCTTCCCACCCGCCAACAGCATCAGCTGCAGCTCCTTATCAGCTCTGGGTGCAATCCAGGCTGGAACCAAGTGAGAGGTTCCTGCTGGTGCTGCTGGAGGAGTGTTTAGAGCAGGCAGACCTTGTGTTGCAGCTCCTGGTGTTTGGAGCAGCAGGTGATTTACACTGTGAAGGGAAAGTGGGACCTGTCCAGAGCTGCCCTGTGAGCGAGCTGGTGGTGAGTGCCCATCCTCTTTTCTCCTGGGTGGTGCTGCTGTGGTCCTGCGTGGTTGGAAGGTGCTGGGGCTGTGGCTGGTGCTTTTTTTCTGCTTGTCCTGCAGTGCAAGGTTCCGTGGGGAGCAAGGATGGGCTGGGGGGGGCACAGCTCCCTGGGCTCAAGTGTTGCTTGCCCTGCTTTGGTGGTACCAGGGCTGAGAGCAGCATCTGTGGGTGCTGTGGCTGCTCCTTGCTGATGCAGAGCACAGGGCTGAGGTGGGGATGCAAATAAGTGGGCTCCCCAGCCATCCAGGCAGCTCCATCCCCAGCCCAGTGCTGGAGCAGTTTTACCACAGGTTTTATTTCCTGTGAGGTGCAGTGAGATGCTACAGGGTGAGGAAGAGCAGTAAATATTTGGGAAATTCCTCTGTACAGTGATCCCCTGAAGCTCCAGTGCCTGGCTCCATCAGCCCATCACCACCCTTCAAGGGCTTGGAGAATGGGAAGAGGCTGGAGAAACACCCGTGGGCAGGAGCAATTCTCCACCTGCCCTGGCTTTGTGGAGCTCCCAGCTCAGCAGCTGCTGCTCCCAGGCAGGTACCAGGAAAACCCTTCAGGGCCAGGCTGCTGAGGGGATGCTGAGGCTGCAACAATGGCAAAAGAAGCCCAGTTGATAAATGTCAAAAGAAATCCAGTAATCGGCTGAAAGCAATTTCCCGAGCCGAGGAACCGCCCTGGGCTCGCCATCTTCCTTTATTCATTTATCATGGTAAGGGCTTCGGCCAAAATACACAAAGCAGAGAAATTGTTGACATGTGGGGCCCTAGCAGAGCAAATCCTTCATCCTCCTCCCCCTCCCTGCGGCACACAAACTCACTTTTTGGGAGTTGTTTATTTAAGGAGTGCAGAGCACTCGGCGCTCTTTGAACCCGAATGCCTTGGGAGCAGGGCTGGGGGGCTGCCACCACCTTCCTGCTCCTGCCATCACCAAGGCTGTTTGCTGCCATCAGGAAATACCTGCTGGCAGCGAGGAGCTGAGCTGTGTGATGTGCTCAGGACCTTGTCCTGCTTCTGCCTCCTCCAACCCCACAGATGTGGTGCTAGTGGCTCGCACAGGTCCTCTGTAACTGGTCAGAGGGGGCAGATACTGGCTTTGGGAAGTTCCTGTGTTGGCTTTTGATCCTCTCAGTCCTGGCTAAAGCAGCTGTGCTGACAGCACTGGTTTCAATTCTCTGCCTTGGGTACCACAGAGCCCCTGCCCACCCTGCACAGCCAGTGCTGAGCTCCCTCACCCCTTCCCAGTGGAGCAAAGGCTTCCTTTGGGACACGGGAACCCAAGAGAACACACCAACCAGGGCCTGGCTGTTGCAAGGCTGCTCCTCCACATCTCATTTTGACTTTATTTCAAGAAAAAATAAGTGCTGAGGTTTGCAGCAGGTTCCCCCTGCACGTGTTCCTGGCTCCTGCTGGGCTGGTGGTGCAGGAGCACAAAATGGGGTGTGAGGTGAGCAGGGCAGTCCTTCCTCCTCAGCTTCCCTGAGAGCCCTTCCAGCAGCCTCCAGTCCTCCTTCCAGATGTTTTATTTCTCATTTCACCCAATTCTGTTCCCACCTGGATGAACAGCGAGCAGAGTTCCCCCCTCCCTCCAGCACTGCCCAGGTGGGCAATGGGAGCAGCCAAGGCACAGAGCTGCTCATCCCTGAGGCTGCTGCCTCCAGGCAGAGATGAGTGCTGGGGCACGTGGCAGTCCATTCCTGCCCAAGGGGCAGTGTGTCCATTGGGATGGTGTTTATCCAAGCAGCTCCTTGGTTTTTGCTGCCAGCAGCTTGTCCATCTCAGCGACAGCCTCATCTGCCATTTGCTGGATCTGTGGCAAGACAATACAAGTCAGAGTCCTGTGTGAGGGGATGCCAGAGTTTAGAGGGAAAGGAGTGACTTCAGGGCAGGGCAGAGACCTGCTGGTGCTGGCACCAGAGAAGAGAGGGCTGTTCCCTCCTGCAGCACTATCAGAACACACAGGTAACAGCAGGAGCCTTAGTACATGCCAGGAATACACACACCCAGTAACCATCTGTTTGTTTCTTGTAAAAAATAAAATGGTGGTTGTCCAAGCCCTGCCCAGAGATCAGCTCTCCTGGTAACATGGGATGGACATGGCAAGAATGTAAAAGGGATCAAAATCTGCAGGCCCTTGAGTAAGAGCAGGTAAAGGCTGGAGCACAATGGGGGGTATGCACTGGTTTCACAGGTTTAAGTTCTGCTTGCTCCCAAGGTCTAATGATGACCTTTCCTCATGAGGAAAAATTTGGGTACAAGAAAAAATTCCACTGGAGATGTTACCTCTACCAATGCAGAAAACCATCTGTCTGCTCTGGGAGAGCTGCTTCCCAACAGGATTTGGTTACAATGGCATGGCCATTTTTCCTGCTTGCACAAACACTCTGGATATCGATGTTTATTTTTGTGAGCACACAGAGAACTGTCCCAGAGCATTTGCAATGTATCTAACTTTAGCTGTTAATAAACAAACAGCTAAGAAGTAATGGCCTGCCTTCAGAGGCATCAATTCAGCAGAACACTTAGGCTTGTGCCTGAGTTTATGCCCAAGTAATTGACTTTAGTGACATCTGCTCTTAGGGAATTAGGCATGTGCTTAAGTATTTTCCTGAATTGGAGCCAAAAACTCTGGACAGAGATAATCTTGCTAGCCTTTTCATTAATAACAACTGAAACAATCCTCATTAACACCCACTGTGTGCAGTGGCACCGGGTGAGTGGTGGTACAGGCATGGACGTGGATTGTTTTGCTCCCCAAATTCAGCGGGTTTGTGCAACAATCCCTCGTAGTGCAAAAGCTTTTGGGGAATGTTTTTTCCCCTGTGTCAGCTTACCATGGTTCATATCATAAATTTGGCTTTGAGATTGAAGTCCCCAATCTCACAAAGCAAAAGCAAATACAACAGCCATTGACCAACTCCAAAAACAGCCCATTCCCCCACTGGGTTCTCAGTGATGGAGATTTGTCAGCAAGGGCTGGGACAAACACACCATTGAGCTCTGAGACACCAAGATATGGCAGAAGGGAAGAAAATTACCTGCTTTTCTAGCAGATAGATGGTATCTTCTGACACTTTGCTCTTGGACTTCTTTACCTGGCTGATGCTTTTGCTTCGCACCTTTCTCAGGGCCTCTTTGGACTTGTTGGTGGCCTGCTTGGCCAGCTTGGCCAGGTTCTCCCTGTGCTCCCTGGTGACCCTAGAAACACAGGGAGAGGAAAAACACCAAAAGAAGAACAGTGTCATGTGTGGTAAAGCCAGATTTATTTTTTGTGATGGACTTTGGGTAAATGAGTGATCCTCTCTGAATGGTGAGGCCCTGACCAGGGACACCCAAAAGCTGCTGGTGTTAGACAGACCTTGCTCTGTTTGGAGGCCCTGTGTGTCACAGGGCAGAGGGACTGAACAGCTCAGGGCACGTTTTTATTCTGCTTTGGTCCACCTGGAAAAAACAGCCACCTCTGCACAGCATCCCCAGGGCAGCAAGTCTTGAGCCTAGAATGAAAAATTTCTAGCCTGGCCCTAAGCTGGGGAACTTGGACTGAATCTTACTTGGTTTATAGTTGTTGCTGCAGTGACTGAAAGTCATGCTGAAATGTTCAGACTTTCCTTATTTCCTGCTGCCAAAGCATCTGTGGGAAAGAGGAAAAATCCAGTTCCAGACTTGAAAGATGGAACTGAAAAGTGTCATCCTGAAAAGCATAATCCTGCAAAGCTGGGAGAAAACCTTAGTTCCTGAAACTCAGATTTGTCTTCCTGCAACTGAAAAGCCTGAATTAAGGACTGGGAAGCTACAGAGTTTATCTTTCACTCAACTTTATTCCAGCTCACCATGACCAGGATTTCCCACCAAGATGATGTGAACACCTGGTTGGACAAGAGGATGCTGCTGGACATGGTCAGCCACAGGTAACTTGGCCCACCTTCAGCTCCACCTTCCCCCTGACATGGGGCCAGTTATTGCTGTGGTGCCACAAGAAAATCCTGAATTTTCCATTCCAAACTGAAAACCGCAGGTGGTGAGAGAGTCTGACCATCAAGAAGTCTCAGGAATGGCTGGGGTGTCCCCTCAGCTCTGGTAATGCCCCAGCACCTACAGCTGATCACTGTCAACTGCTAGTGCTTAACAATAATATTTTAATAATTTTCACGGCTATTGGAGTTTCCAGGCTGCCTGGAGAGAGAAAAACCCCAGTGCTCTCGCTGAGACTTGCTAGCTCAAGGGAGATATTGCAAAATAAACATTTCACAGGAGTATTTAGAAATTGGCTGTAGCAGCCTGGGTCACCAAAACACTGGGGCTAAGACTTTTCCTGCAGAGAGCTCAGGAAATGTGGGGTGGGGGTGCCTGGGCTCTGCCCCACAGTGGGTGTGTGTTATGGGCAGGCTGTGGGGGCACAGTGGGACCCTTGGGCCAGCAGGTCCCTTCCCTGCAGGCAGGTCTCTCCCAGCAGATGTCTGCAGAGGCACTGGCCTCTTGCCAGCCATCTCTATTTCATGGTGCCAGAGGGAACAGTCTTCCCAGAACCAGTTAGAAATGACAGGAATTTGGGATGGCTAGGAAAGCTGACAGACCCAGAGAGCAGCATCCCAGCCCTGGCATCCAGGGCACCCTGGTGCCTGTCCCTTCCCTGGGAGATGGCCAGGGGATGTCACACAGAATCAAAGAATATCCTGAGTTGGAAGGGGCCCACAAGGACCATCAGTTCAACCCCTGACCCTGCCCAGGGCAACCCAACAATCCCCCCTGTCCTTGAGAGCATTGTCCAAACACTCCTGGAGTTCTGGCAGCCTTGGTGCTGTGCCCACTGCCCTGGGGAGCCTGGTCAGTGCCCAACCACCCTCTGGGGGAAGAACCTTTCCCTGAGATCCAACCTAACTCATCACATGTGGCAGGAGGCTCCTGGTCAGCACAGGCAGAGGAGAGAGCAGGGATCCTTGTGATCCTCGTGGTTTCCCTGCATCCCAACATCGGTGCCTCTGGGGCTTCTCGTGTTCGACCTCCCCGGCCAGAGCTCCCGCAGCACATTGGAACCAGCAAAGCCGGCTCACAGGCAGAGGTCCCCGTGAGGTCAGATTCTCAGGCAGCTTTCGGGGGGCGGGGGGGAGTCAATCCTGGCTGCTCAGCTTGGAGGGGGGAGCTGGAAATCTCTCCCATCTCCTGCTGGGTGGCGGGGGAGCCGCTCAGCGCTGGGAGCCGAGCGTGGCTTTCGCGAGCTGAGCTGAGCTGAGCTGAGCTGAGCTGAGGGTATCACTCGCCTGCCCGGGGCTGCCGAGCCTTGAAGGAAATGTTTTTGTTTATGCAGCGCTGCCAGATTTCCTCTGCTTCTTGGCACGGGGTCACAGCTTTCATGCCTCCTTGTCTGTCTTTATTAACACCAATTTCTTTTTATCACCGTGCTGTGCCGGGGAGTTTCTCAGTGGGTTTTATGTTCCAGCCAGACTGTGTGTAAATTCTCAGCAATGCTACCAACAGTGCCAGAAGTGGACGCTTTTCCAAGCAGATGCTGTTTCTGGTTAAGGAATCCATCAACACGAGCCAGGCCCATGGTTTCTAAGGACAGTTGTTTAATCCTGCCCCTAGATGTGGGACTTTTAAGCTGCTCTTAGGTATGTTTTCTTTTCTGTCTATAAACCAATCCCCACTAGTAATCCCTACCCCCACTAAAAGCTAAAAAAAAGTGTGAAGTGAACTTGGGGAAGGGGTGCCAGAGTGGGAAATGAGGACAAGGTCCCCATCTGTCACCTCTGATGCCCTTCCTGCAGCTCACAGAGCAGCGGGCTCAATTCCTGCTGTTCCCCCAGGGACCAGGACAAAGCCTGGTGAATGACATGTCAGGGGGGGTCACAACACACACCATCCCACGAGTAACATCTTTTTTTCTGCCTCCCCCAGCTCCAGTGGTTCAAGCCCTGCAGCCCTCGGCAGAGCAGACCCACAGCGAGCTCGACAGGGCTCGTCTCAACGCAAGACGTTTATCCGGGTAAGAGCAATTTCTGTATCTCAAACATGAGGAATTTCCTGTGAAGGAGAGGGATCAGTTAAAGCAAAGCAGGCTTAACTAAACACTCTGCATTCATAATTGCAGATAAACACAGGGTGCAGCATTTATTGCTCAATAAAAAGCAAGCGACAGACTCCTGACGATGAGCGAGTGCAGCTCGGAGCAGCCTTGGTGTGTTTTCAAGTGAGATTTTTTGTGTCCTTTCTCCCCATAATAGGTATCTTTGCATATTTCTTAAAGGGTAAAGGGAAAAAAAAGCTCACAATGAGTCATTAAACTTTCAAATGAGTCATCTGGCTTTCAGTAAAACATGTGTAAAAATATTACTGATTTACAAACAATATCCAGTGTAACACAATGGGTCCAAAAAAGATGAATCTAAAAATGAGGCAATACCATAAAAGACACAAGGTCAGGTCAAATTCGGCCAAGAGATCAACCAATACAAACGTTCCCATGGCTGGTTCCTTTTTTTATTTTTATTTTTAAACCCCTGGAGGCTACTTTTTATACAAATAAATATTGCCTATGCAGCGTTAGCCACAGAAACAGGCGAATGCCTCGGGGAGCAGAGGGATCCTGGCAGGCAGCAGAAGTAAACACCAACCACACGAGTGTATTTTTTCTGCTGAAACGGCAGTGCAAAACCTAAACTAACAGAATAAATACTGAGAAGCAAACTCCACTTTTAAATGCTCAGCTGAAACACTCTGGAGCACAGCTGGACCTGCACAAGGCAAAACACGACACACGTGTGTCCAGCTGACAGGTCAGAGTGGGAAGTGGTTTTAATGACAGGTAAGGACAATTTGGGTTTGGTTTTATTTTTAGTGCGACTTCTTTTCATGGAAGAACCAATTTCTGCAGAAATAATATTAATATCTCTTAATTTTTTATGTGTTTGCTCAGTTTCCATATCAGATGTAATTTTGGCAATTTTATTGCATCTGTCTGTCATATATCCTCTCATAAACTGTTGGAAATAATGAAAAACCTAGAAAATTTTAAAAAGCAATTCAGGGATATAGTATTAAAGAGAGGCCTCTTGCAGAATTTGATTGTTTCTGGCCCCCTTTTTGCAATAGGGGGTTTTAAAAGGCTGGAACTGTCTGCTTGTCTTTTCAGTAAGTGGATGAAACTCCCAAAGACCCAGTCATGTAACTGGAGAGCAAAAGGGACTAGAGATGCCAGTGAGGGCAGACTCACAGGGCACAGCTCCCAAAAAACCTTAACTCAGGACTTCCCAGGCTCCCAGGCAGTCAGGAAGTGACCAGGAGCTGCAACCCTGACACACCAGAGGAACACTGGAGTACACCAGGCAGAGCTTCCCTGGGAAGAGAAGACTTGTTTTCGCTCTGCAGCTCCACAGAAGATGGTGACAGACCATACATACACATTTGTTTAAAAACACAGTATTTTGTTAAAGCTCCGGATCTGCAGTTTTGGAGTTTCCTCCCCTGCAATTCGTATTCAAGGATGACCCAAGTGCCCATTAACAATCAAACCACTGTGCAGCAACCCGGGAGCCTCAGCAATTATGAAGATAATGGTGCCCTCCTCCTCCTCTGCCTCCTCTCCTGAGGAATGGGGGAAGGGCAGGGAGCACGGGGAAAGAAAATCAGCAAATAGAATGATAATGTCATTGCCTCTCACCGACTGCAACGGAAAGCTGCAATTAGACTTCTCTGATGAAAATGCTGGGTAAAATTCCATAGAATTTTTTTTAAGGAGATCTAAAGCATAAGAAATACCTGGTTCATCTTCACCAAGAAGTCACCTGCTTGTGCAAGGGGTTTGTGCACTCCCTGCCTGAGAGCTGTTTGTCTTTACCCCGAGGTGTGAGTTCATCTACAGCCACACCTGCCCAGAGTATTTGGATGTTCCACAAAGTCTGAGCACCCACAGGAACCTGTGAGCTTTGCTTGTGCCACCCAACTCTGGTGCCCATGTGACAGGCACTGTCTGTGCCAGCGAGTGGAGCTGCTGGGAGCCCTAATTTCACCTGAAAGGACCCCCATTCCCAGGCAGAGCCCAGCATGCTGCAGTCCAAAGCACACTAAGGGATCATCAGGATGGCTTCTCCTGACCACAAACTGAAGCATGGATGCAGTGGCACCTCCTGCCTTGTCCAAGGGCTGGGAGACACCTGTGATGGGTGAGGGAAGCCATGCTCATGCCTTGGCCAGGGGCAGCCTGCTTTTCCATCAGCCCCACACCAAAACTTCCATGCAGCCATCAGTTACACAATGTGTATTAGATGAGAAGAGGGAGCAGATTTTTCAGTCAAAGCTATAAATTTCCTGCCTCTCCCTTTCACCACTTCCTTTTAGTGCTCTCTGCACCAAGGTGCTACTCATCCCTAATACTACTGGCTCACTAAATTCACTCCTGCCTTACTGCTGCTCTTTGCTGGTGTAATTCTGGGAATTTAGAGCAGGGCACTAAAGAATCAGCTCCTGAGTTAAAGCAATACAGGTTCAAAAGCCTCTGGCTCTCCTGCAAAGTGCTGCAGCCAGCAAGGACCAAGATTTCTCTGCATGAAGAGGATGAAGAACAAAACCAACCACCAGATGCCAAGACATGATGACTTAGAGCTCAGGCACTTGGAAGAGGTTCCACCAGACACTTTCAGAGGCTCAGATTTTTCTCCAGACCTGAACTTACAGCTATTTGGAAAGCAGCTGCATCAGGATATTCAGCAGTCGTGCACGTTTACCCTCTGAAGGGCACTCACTGCAACCTACTGTGTTGTCTTGTGTGGTGATGAGCTCGGGCAGTGATACTCACTTAGGAACTGGCACCCGAATCATCGTCCCGTCCACCTCGGGGTTCAGGTTCATGCCACTCTCCCTTATAGCCTTCATAGCTGCAGCTGTGCTCTGTAAAGCAGATCAAAAGGTAAAAGGGAATTAGGAAATAATCATTCCCATATGCCAGAACTCTGTCAATAGTTGGCAATCCATCTCCATGGAACATGGAAACATTTACTTCTGTTACCAGTAAGATCAGGAAGTTACATTGGTGCAGAGAGCTTTGATCAAACCGAATGGGAAACTAGGGCCGCTCGTATCGGGGTAGGGGGGCACCAGGGGGGGAGAGGGGAAGGCAGGCAGGCAACAACAAAAGAAAACTGTTTTGTTTCTTTGAAACTATTCGAATGGTTTGAGGCAACGCAGAGTGAAACCGCAATAAATTCCCAAGGCAGAGCCTGACTGTGGCGAAGGAGATGAAAGATTCTGAGCATTTAAAAATTCCAGCTGAATGTTTCCCACTAGAAATCACCCAGTGCCAATTCTGAAACGTTAACAAACTTAACCACTTCAGCACTACAACCTGACCACAGGACATCGGGGTGGCAGCAGATGGCTGAGAAACAGCGCCCGTGCCCAGCTCCGTGTTTATTTTACAGCTCATTACTGAGGATTAACTTCTCAAACTCCCCTGCCACTGGATGATGCTCTGCTCTGCTTAAAAGGTGGGGTGGCAGGTTTTCCTGGTGACTGCAAGGTGATTAAAAGGCTTCACCTCCATCCCAGGGCACGGGTTGTGCCTCTAGAGAGTGCCAGGCAGAGTTAAAGCAGAGTTTGGCCCGGAGCTCCTGTGAGGCTCTGCCAGGTCGTTTTGTTCTTGACATTGCCAAGCCCAAGGAGTTTGTGTTCCTGTGGCACTTGTGTGGTGTTTCCTACCAGGCACGATGCTATTTCTGATCCTCTTTGCCATCATTAACTTCAGCTCCAGGCTGCTGCAGTGTTTATGTCATTCAAACCGTATTTGTGAAGCTCAGCTTTTGTCATCTGAGGCACAAACTAAAGCTCTGCAGATTTGTTCAGGTCCCTGACACGTGACATCACTGAACCTAATGAATGCTCTGCTGGTAAGAGACAACTGCTGTCCTCTGAAACTACAAGGGCAGAGAAAATGCAACCAAAATTATCTCAGCACATTAGGAATAAAAAGGGATGGTGGAAAGAAACACTCAGTAAAAACTGTGTTGTTTAACACAGATATTGGAGGAGATGGAAGGAGGGGAAAATATTGTAATATTACTCTTGCAGCCTATGAAAAAAAAATACCTAAAAAACCAGCATCTTGTTCGGTTTTATAAATCTTGGGCAAACAGACTTTGGCCCTGCAAGCCCTTTTCTATGATTGTTTTATTTCTCACTCTTCAGGCACTTTTATTTTCTTCTCAGTGTCATGAAGTACTGATGACATGCTGTAAATGATGACATCAAGTAATCGTGTCTGTAATGGTTTTAAAGAGTTCAGTCTATCACAGAACAGTTATGGTATAAAGCAACTGTACTGAGAGAAACAGTTCTAGTTCAAGTGACAAGTGGTCCTTTGGCTTAGAAAGCAATTGCAGGCACTGCTATATGGAGGATATTTAATTTCTCACATGCCCATTTCTCAGCCTGAGGTCCTGTTTGACACGGGGTAAGTCATGGAGTGCCTTCCCTGGCCCTCTCTGCGGGACCTCGGCGCACTCGCTGATGAGGGGCCTCTGTTCTCCAGAGCCTTTGTACACTTTAAGAAACACTTAGGCATCAAGTGCCTTACACTGACCTCCTCTGAGACTTTGCTGACTTAATTAATAGGGGAAAGCCTTTGCAAAATAAATAGAGATAAGCCCTGGCAAACCTCCAGACGTGGGGTGAGATGAATCGCTGACCCTGCGCTGGCTCCTGGTCCCATTGCCTGGCTCTGTCTGTGGGAGCTGCAGGGCACCCCAAGGGCTTGATCCCCAGGTGGGATTTGCACTGCTGCCTCATTTAGGGGCAAGTCTAAGGCTCCTGCAGAAAATTAAGGGAACTTGTCTCTCACAGAAGATAACTTAAAGCACCTCACTTGTGTCCTGACCAGCAGACGCTGCCCCTAAGGAGGAGCTCACCAACCTCAGCAGTGCCCAGCTCGAGCTCTGTGACACTGAGCACAGCTCAGCCCCACCAGGGAGGCTCCTCAGAAGCTCACAAGCTCCATCAGCAGCTTCTCCCACGAGCTGTAAGAGGTGTCCCCAGCCCTGGTGGTAAGTAAGCAAGTTCCAGATGATGGTGATGGTGTGTCCAGCACAAATTCCAGCTACACGGCTGGTTCTGTGCCTGGCCATGTCTTCACAAGGAACTGAACTAACACAACAGGGCAGGCACAATGTCAGAGACACGTCTGTCACTCAGGTGAGTGTGTGTGTGGGCTCAGGACTGCTGGGTGCCATAAACACATGGCAAAGGGGGAGGGCTGGCAGGGCACAGGGAATCTTGTCTGTGACTTAGTGTTGCTCTGCAGATCCACCTGACAGGAAAGTAGCCCCCAGAGCAAACCCCTTGCAGTGTGGTACTCACTGGATACAGCCCTGAGAGCAATCCCAGCATGGAACTCTCCTGTGACCCCTCACAGCTGCAGGTGAGCTGCTCTGTGAGCCAGGCAGGGCTGGGGAATCACTGTCAGCAGCAAAATACCCCTTCTGTTCTGTGTCAGCACAAAGTGACACAGCCCAGCCAGAGCTCCCAGCCCTGCCACGTTTGACTGATTTTGTCTAAGTGTTCCTTTGCTCAGCATCAACCTGTTTGTTCCCCTGGTAATTATCCCTTCCCACTGCCTTCAGTCACGTGTCCTTCCTTACCTCTGGAAAACTGGTCATGTTCACTATAATGAGCTGTGGTGATTTCTGTGAGATCTGCCCCAGCTGGTTCAGTGGAAACTTCCCATCTTTGGTCACCACAGTTATGTGATCCAGGGCCCCTCAAAAGAACCAAACACAGGCACTTTCAGTATGATACAGCAGTTTGCAGCAATGCTGAAGAAAAATGCGTCTGCAGTGTCCCACTTCCCTCCTGCTTTGCAAAATATAGATGTTACAAAGGAAAAAAAAACGTGTTTATTCAGACTTCAGGTGCTGTTTGTGTTCAGGCATCCCCTGTGTATTCACAAGCTAAATATTTCAAAGCTACTCTAAAGCACAAAAACATGAAAACAAAACTCGTGTTTGTTTTTGCTACCAGAATAGGAAAACTAAGCAGGACTGTTAAGAATGAAAAGGAAATAATTATTTTTTAATCCTTAGTATTTAAAGAATATAAAAACGTGGCTGTAAAAATCAAGAAAAATATTGTCTTTAACTTAGCAGTGCTCTCTTAAACCCCTCTTTTTTTTCCCCCAGGTCCCCAGAGGGGTGTTGTACACTGCCTAATTTAAGGTATTCAGTTTCTCCCTGAGCTACTCTTAATCTGCTCTCTAGTTTCTGCTGCAAAATGTTAACAGGCCAAAAGGCACATGGGACAGGAGGTACTTTATCAGTGGAATTAAAAAAAATACCTATGGTTAAAATAAATAGTTAAGAGACCAAGCTACGCTTTCCAACTCCATTAAAGACAGAAGTGCCCCTGCCAGAGCTGGGGTGGTGAATGATTCAAATTTGGTCATTGTTTAATGTTAAATTTTATCCCTGAAACTTGATACACTCACAAATGCGTGGGTTCAGAGTGTTATAGTAACTGTGGCTTAGTCAAATATATTCACATTTCTTCCTAAAGCACAAAATCCACTAAGTGAACGAGGCTTGTACAGGTCACTGCCCACAAAGACACACAGCAAAAAAAAGTTTGTATATGCCAGACACCAGCCTGATGGCAATTTCCAAAAGGCTAATTTGATGGCAATTGGATTTTTCCTGCCCTACTGCACCATTAGCTGACAACCTGCTTCTCCATCACATCTGCAAACAGTTCAGTTAGAGACTTTTGACATCTCCCACTTACAAAAGCTATTTCCAGGAAGCTATTAGCCAAAATGGATTCTTCCTGGTCAAGCTCAGGGTGAAGAAAGCCTTTAGCAGGGATGTCAAGGCTGCAGCAACTGGGTGCCCCGTGAATAACTCCAGAAAAAGAAAATCAACTTTGAAAAAATCAGAGTTCTCCATTACTGGGATTTGTAACCTTATTTACGGGCCACAGAGCATCACACAAAGAAGTTACCAACCTGGTGAGGTTCTAACACTGATGTTCCTGCTGAAATCTTCTTTCAGAGCTTCTATGACTGCCTGCATGTCCTCATTGGTTTCCTCCAAATTGATAATATCCTCAACTAGGGCAGCACTGATATTCACTTTGGCTTGGCTCTGCCCTTTACCTTTAGCTGCAGATTGCACAAAAAGAAAAAAATTAATTTCTATTTGTGACAACAGTTAGTTGCTGCATTAGAAAGTAGACTCAGTTCAGAACTGAGTCTAAGATAATCCAAAGTAACTGTACTTTTTAATGATTAAAAAGCCCAGTACTTGAGCACATGTGCCAAAATATATACATATATATTATATATAGAGAGAGAGGGGTTGCAAAACCAGGAAAAAGCTGCTGTTTTTACCCTTTTTGGTAGCAAGCTGTCTGCTCAGCAGCACCTGATGGCCACACTGCCTGCAGCCCTCCAGGAGCAGGGCAGGGCAGCCCACAGGAGCCCCTGGCAGCCCCCTGGTCAGCAGGAAGGACGAGCGGTGCAGCAGGGACGGGAGAGGACGGAGCCACCTCAGTGCCAGAGCCATCATCCCAGCTCCTCTCTGACCCACCTGGAAGAGAGAAAGGCAGGGGGGCTACTGGGCCTGCTAAAAACAACCTGATTTAGGGCTTAGTGGTACTCATGGACACAAGGTGACAGCTCAGCGACGTGGGCACTGGGTCTGGGCATCTGCAGTGGAAAGGGCTCGGTGGCTGCCAGGTATCGGTGTGGGCTCTGCACATCTGTGCAGACGGGCACGGGCCTCTGGCACAAACCCTGCGGCTGCCGAGGTGGAGCAGCTCGTACAGTAC